CTTTGATAATTGGCACCCTAGTAGTTTGTAGATTTAATGCAAGTGGCTCCCCAGTAGTTTGTAGCTTTGACGTACAAAACCCTGAAAAGAACAACAATTAATGCATTATCTTTTATTCACACACTAACTCTAATTTGATTTATTTTGACTAGTTTACTTTATTCAACTAACACAATTTACCTATTAAATTATGCCTTAATTAGGGTTAATCAAAACTCACCATGATATTCTTTGTCATCTCCACTGGTTATGTCGGGTGTTTCATGGAATGTCGGTTATATATCAGTTCCATTTTCGAGTCTGGTCATGTTGTACATTTGGAATAACAAATACCAATATACATTTGATAATTCAAGCATAGAGAGAAACACCAATTTTCAAGGATTTGTAGTGATAAGTTTTAGATTGCTAAGTTAGGTGTCAAACCGATCATGTGATTAATTACTTTAGCAAATAGTCTCAAAAATCCACATTTGTTCTATCGTCCATCAACAAGAATTACTAAGTGCTAATTCTATACATGCATTTTAAACAGATAAAAGTGATAAACTAAACCATTCATTTCATGAAATATGATCATTTGATTTACACATCAAAGGTTCAATCCACAAAAATTCCAAATATCCACAATAGAAGTGACCAAACATAAAGAAAAACTTTAAACATCTATAAAAATCTACTAAAGAAGAAGAAACAACCACAATCACCCCTCAATCATCCACAATAAACCACAAAAGAAGGGACACAACACACAAACTTCAAATATCCACAAGAAACTACCAAAGAAGAAGAAGTTCATCCAAAGAAGAAACATCCACAACCCACAATCAAGAACAAAAATCAATCTCCTCCACCATCTCCACTAGCTCCACTGACTCCACCAGCTCCACCCCTTAGAAGACTAAGGATCTCATCCTGCTTAGCTTCAATGCTAAGCATGATGTCCCGTAAAGAACGCCGGGTGGTCATGCTGGGTAAAAAAAGAGGATGGGTGGTGTTTTGGGGCTAGGTATCAAGAATAGGTTTTAGGGTTTGGAGTTTTTTCAAAAGTTTTGGGGTTTTTGAAATGGGGAAGACGATCCAGGCTTTTATAGCCTGAGAAGGATCGTTCGAACATTCATGACGTTTGAACGTATGTAGAAGAATTTTTAAAATATTGTTCGAATGTGGGTGTCGTTCGAACGTAGTGAACTCCTAGTACTTTTCAGTTCTCTCAGAGACTAAAGTACTGTAAGTTACTCTCGTTCAAACATTCTATTGGCGTTTGAACGTTACCATCATTCGAACGTGCTAGTGGCGTTTGAACGAGCTGAGCTCCCAGTAATTTTTGTTTCCATTAGAGACTTCACCAGAGGCTGAGTACTGCAAGTGACTAATGTTCGAATGTCGTATGGTGTTCGAATGTTGAATCAAAAATCAAAATTTTTCTGCACTACACTATACACAATAAAAGAGGTCAAAACACACAAGTTTGAATCAAAAAATCATGGCATCTCAGGAGAAGTCCCTACCCACGCTTCATGTTGGTATTTTGGGACTCTTTACTCGGCCCATATTTTCATTTCAGTCAAAAGAGTTTGTACAAAATAGAAAAGATTTTTACACTTTTTACAAAAATTCGGACCCTTGACTTTCATCCCACCTACTCTAATGTGAGTCTCCCTCTGTATATGTGTAGTTTGAACAACTAGTGACTCTCCCAACATCCTCTCTCACAAAATGGTTAAGCAAAGTACCAGAATAGCATAGCGTCTCAGGGTAATCATTACTCAGCCCATTCACTATCCAGTTTAATTGATCGAGTGCGCGACCAAAAATTAGTTCAGAACACTAATTATATCTTTTCTCGTGAAAGACTCTGCCACACTGTTTACAGGCACCAAGTCTTTAGACCTGACAGCCTTTAGCAAAAGTGATTCTGCCATAGAGGGGTTTCTTTTGCTCTTCTTGGATCTCATTCTTTCTTACTAGTCTTGTTTTTCTCATGATCGCAGTATGCACATCAGATGAAAAAGTGCGTAAAACTCCTAGACTAAACCAAAAAAGTTTAACATCCGTGCTTTCTATTTTTTAAGACTCACTATCTGGTTCTTTAACGTTTGCCAATCACAAAGATGATCAAAGCTGACTCACTGACATAATCATTATCTTATACAAAATTCAAGGCAAGGTACACAATATGATCAGATAGCAACAACAACATCAAAAATAAAAAATTTTATGGGTACAAAATATGAACTATTCTCACCCCCCAACCTAAACTGAACATTATCCCCAATGTTTCAAATTTACCGATATGTTGAGCTTGGAGATGAGGTGGAAATGTAGAGATCTGTTTATCTACCGAAAACCTACAAGCAAAATACACAATTTAATCATCTCTCCGTAGATCTGGGTTTTTTGCTAGGATGAAAACCATTGATTTTGAGTGCAGACAAAAGAAGAAGAGTCATGTACAAATAAAGTAAACACATGCAGATTATGAGACAAAGGATTGGGTCTTCGGGTAATATGGTCATGGTACTGTTGCGAGTTGGACCGTGGTTACAAAGGATCGTTAACATCAAAGAAATAAGAAGAAGAAGAAGAAGAAGAAAAGAGAAAAGGGAAAAGGACAAAAGGGCATGGTAAGAGAGGAAAAGGGGTGGAGAAAAAGAGAAAAAGGGGACGATGCCTTATAAAGGCGTCTACTCGGGTCAATTTTTCTCGGGTCTTTCCTGACCCGACCCCTTTTTGTGTCGGCAGGCGCAATTATCGGAGGGATTTTTTGGGTCCATTAAAAGAATAGTTTCCACATTTT